TCATTTGAAAAAGTTTAGTATGACATTGTTCGTCAGTAATTATTTTCGAATATTGTTTCAATTTTATTGTCAAAGTATCGAGAGAAAATCGAACATTTATATGTAAACTATACGATGTTACAATCATAGCATAATTCATTCTTATTCTCCTACTTCTTATCGAGCAAAAGATTGTTCCGAAGTTTTTATATACTTCCTTCAATATATATAATTTGATCAACAAAAATTTGAACTGTCGTCAAATCAGACATACGTTAATGAAAAATCTTTCCTCTAGATATAGAGTTTGTAAAGATTGCTTTAGGATAATTTCAATTTTATATTATTTTGAGTATATTGGTTGAGAAAATTGACACTCAAGTATTCATTAGTCTTTTTATTGAATTAGTAAAGTATATTTAGTGAATGACCTAATATACCAGGTAAAAGTTGAACTATTTAGGGAACGGTTCATCATAATTCTTCTGAAACAAGAATGAATAGCTGTCGAATGCATGCAACCATTTAGACACTTAATATGAGAATTTTTGTGAACTACTTTGAAAAGTTTTGAGTTCGGTGGATTCTGTTAATATTTTTCAAAGGATGCGTTTTCAAAATTATTTTACATGTGAAGCTTATTTTATTTAAACGGCGGTTGAATTGATTATAATTTTTTAGACTCGGATTTCAAAAACCAAACTTTATTCTTGATACTATTAGAGAAACGATTTCAATGTCGGAATTCGACACAAAATCTGTACATAGAAATATTCTATCAATATCTCACTAATAAGTTATTGTCAAATTTCTAGGAAATATAATACAATCAAATAATTAACGAGTAAACATCCTAGAATTGTTAGTGCTTTCCACACTTCCTCAATTGAGATATACATTTATTACTATTAACAGTATAATTGTGTACTATTATATTTATTATTTTTCATATTTTGATTACACATATTCTAATGTAACCGAAGTTTATATCACTAATAGGACATTTAGTACTGATTAAAGTCTTAAAGTTTAAGGATAAATTAATATTTCTTATCAAGAATAGCCATTGATCTTTTAGTTGATTAATATAAAACCAATATATTTCAATCAAAGCATGCAATATAGATAAACTAAATTTCATTATTCTCACCCATACCCATCTCTCATCTCACGTTACATCCTTCAATGGCTTCTTGAAGCTTACGTGATAACTCGTGCTTTATAAATATTCATATATATTATGAATATATGTAAAAACAACTGCAGACGTCATTGCATCGATTAATCTTGTGCTTAGTTATATATTTCTTAGAAAATCATGAAGTTATTATTCATATTTTTTTTTGATATCAAAGTCAGTAATCTTATGAGTTTATTCAAGAATAAAATCATCTTTAATAAATAGTAGCTTCAAGTAAATATTATTGCTAAACGAGAATATGTTTTAGATAGCACTGCATTTTATAATCATCACTCAATTGTACAAAAGTTTCTTCTCATAAATTCAATTATTCTTTGTCTCTTTTGTGCACATTAGATTTCTATGACTTGGATACGAAGTTTTTTATGAGAAAAAAATATATCATATTTTTAAATTCTTCATTAAGATATGCTAATAGTATATAAGTATTCTAAAGTAATAAGACAAGTTGAATTATAAAATGCGACGTAATTTCCTTCTTGATAGAGTATCGTAGACGATATTTGACAGCTTATATTGTGTTCATAAGATTGATATGCTCTGTTAAAGTTTTATAAGCATCAACACAATTAATAATCTTCAATCATACTATATAATTTCATTATTCTTACATGAACACTAAAAAGTTGTATGCAAGAAGATTTTTTTTTTAAATTTACAACGTCACTCTGGTATTATCAAAATTCATTTTTAAATCTAGATAATGACTTTAGTGAGCAAATCGTTCTATTTCATTTGCTTGCATCTGGTTCTTGTTTCACCTCAATTCAATCTTGATCATACTGATTGGATAAATGAGAGTGAAGATCATAGTGGACTCCAACATAATTGTTTATATAATATGATGTCTTACGAAAACCGCCTTGCCGAATCAGATCAGATTATTTCTTACTGTCTAACTGAATGGCCATCAAAGTTCAAGATACGAGAAAATGAACACGATCAAAAATTCACTTTTTCTCAACTTTACAGAGATAATATTACTAGTCAACAATTATATGATTGGTCAGCACCATTGGATGTTATTGAACGTTATCAAATGTATTTAAATCAACTTTTAACTTCGAACGATTCATTATTAATGGGGACACAATTGTATTACAATTGTACATTACCAAGATTTGGTCCATTGTGTCAATATTCATTAGATATCTCTACACGTTATGAATCATCAAATAATATCATTAATGATTTTTATATGAATTCGTATAAACCAACAAGTTTGACATGTTATATTCATTTAAAATGTGATCACGGCTCTAAACTAACATGTCTTGATTGGGCTGATATTTGTGATGGTTATGTCGATTGTTTAAATGGTCCAGTCGATGAAGAACATTGTTGGCAACTTCATACCAATGAATGTAAGGATGACGAATTTCGGTGTTATAATGGACAGTGTATCCCGAAGATATTTTTAAATGATGCTGCCACGGTTTATGACTGTCTCGATAAATCCGACAAGACTAACTCGATAATTACGCAAGACAAACGCATTCATTTAGAAATGCCAGGATTTAATCGGGAAGATATACAATGTATTCAGAGTAATCCTCAATCGTACAGACAATTCACAAGTTCATGTGTAAGAAAACGCGAATATCTGTTGAAGGAGATGATGTTTTCTGATACACCAAACTCGATATCCGATGATTGTTGGTTAGCATTTAAATGTAACTATGGTATTCTATCTGCAACTGTTCCTATGTGCAAAAACATCAGCATTAATAAGACATTCGTTGAAACAATGAAGAACACTTGTTCCGATATGTTAATTGTACCAGCCAAACCAATCGCGTTCGGTCATATCTATTTAGGTTATATTAAAGAAGCCATGTTAAATTCAACCAATTCGCTCGAACCTCAGTACATCTGCTACAATGATCGTCTTTGTAATGGATTTTCTGACAATAAAACATTGCTGTTTTTTACTAAAACTACATGTCGCCGTGTAGAGGATTTTCCAGTAACATTTGGTAAAAAAAGTCATTTGACCAAAATAGATGATTATATTAAAATATTGTACAAAGAACTTTCACACTGTAACACAATAATTTACAATAATATTAAAGTTTGTAACAGTTCATTTATGTATCAATGTATTAACTCTTCGAAATGTATCACAACAAATCGTCTTTGTGATGGTGTAAATGATTGCGATTACGAAGATGATGAACAATGCTCGTTAGTCAATGGTATTTGTTCTGTACTTGAATCTAATATACTTTACAAATGTGTATTATCGAATAAATGTATCTCTATACATAGATTTGGGGATTATGAATGTGACTGTTATTGTTATGGATGTCGCACATGCGAAGACGAACCTGACAGTTTAAGCTTTGTTGATAGTCGTATATCATTTCAAACTATTTGTGATGGTTTTATAGAACTAATTCCTATTACTATTGATGGACGAAATGAAACAGACGAAACAGAATGTGAATATTGGCCGTGTAGTAATAATTATACACGATGTGATGGTAGATGGAATTGTTATAATGGAGCTGATGAAATTGATTGTGCTTCCTTATCATGTCCACTTCGTCATCATAAATGTGTTTCACCTGAGACATATCAATTCATGTGTTTACCTATTGAAAAAGCCAATAACGGTATCATTGATTGTGTTGGTGCTATCGATGAGCCAAGATTATGTCGATCAAGTAATCACATACATACTGACAAGAATTTTTATTGTAAATATGATCCTATTCAGCCTTGTATATCCTCTCAAAAACTATGCTCTATAGAAAATCGATGTCTGTACAAAGATGATGAACGGCTTTGTTATCCGACTCGTAATTATACTGAAACCAGTTCTGTTTGTTCTTATCAATATAAATCGAATCGTTCCGACGTTCAGAATTATTTTTGTTCACTCGACGTCGACCACGAGAAATTGAAATATCGATTCTTGTTACTGAATGATGTTCAACTTCCAGCAAACATCGTAATGGTACTAGATTCAAATAAAAGAATCATAGATTCATCCAACATTATAGTTACTCGTCAATATCAGGAACGATGTCATCGCGGTCTTCCGTTACTTGTCTGGTTAGACAACAAAACAAACGTAACTACAGAAGCATGTCTTTGTCCACCTAGTTTCTATGGAAATATTTGTCAGTATCAGAATCAACGAGTTAGTCTTACTGTACAATTTCGTACTTTTTCAGATTCTAGACGAATATTATTTTCTCTTGTTATCTCACTTATTGATGATAGTGATAAAAGACTTATACATTCTTATCAACAATTCACGTATTATTATTTTGAACATTGTTCAGCAAAATTTAATACTTATTTACTTTATTCAACTCGACCAAAATATTCTACAAGAAACTATTCAATACATATCGATGCTTATGAAAAAACTTCCTTTGTATATCGAGGAAGTTTTCTCATACCTATTAAATTTTCTTTTTTACCCGTCAATCGGATCGCTTTAATAATTAACATCCCGCGTAAAAATGATAATAAAGAAAGTTGTTCCGATAAATTATGTATGCATGGTCAATGTCGCAGATATGTTAACGATCCGAAAGGTACTACTTTTTGTCAATGCCATCGTGGATGGTCTGGAGAATATTGTACAATTTCGCATACATGTAATTGTTCGTCTGATTCGTTGTGCATTGGTATTTCAGCAAATAATCGATCTATATGTGTCTGTCCGATGAATAGATGGGGTTCTCAATGTCTACTTCGAAATGATGTATGTCAATCTAATCAAAATGATACATGTTTTAATGGTGGTCGATGTTTACCTATTGATGAACAGTTGATACGCAGTGAAAAGTTTATTTGTATCTGCCCAATAGGGTTTCGAGGTCGTCAATGTAAAGAAGTGGATATGAAAATAACTTTATCATTCCATAAGGATATTATTTTACCACAATCTATAGCATTACATTTTATTCTAATAAGCCTTTACGGTACATCAGAGTTTGGTTCTCTATATAAAAGAATTCCTATTAATGAAAAATCAATCGCGCTTTATTGGTCGCAGCCATTTACTATCGCATTAGCTCGAGTTTCTAAGAGTTTCTATGTGCTTGTTCCTCCAAGAAATGCCGATAATCGAACAGATTTTAATCGAACAATCACACCATTAGATCGCTGTGATCATATAGGTGAAATTCTAAATGAAACAATTGCTAAATTACATCTTATTCGTCGTATTAAATACTATCATTTATCGTGTCGTAAACTATCACCAACATTATCTTGTTTCTACGATGATACTCATTTTTGTTTTTGTAATAATTTTCATGAGGAACGCACAGCTAACTGTTTCGAATTTAATTCTACAAAGAAGCATAATTGCTTTGGTCAAAATAGTTGTGAAAACGGAGGTGAATGTTTACAAGACAAAATCAATTGTCCACGAACATTAATATGTGTTTGTCCACCATGTTTTTATGGTCTGCAATGCCAGTTCAGTTCAAATTTATTTGGTCTTTCACTGGATGCTATTTTGGGTTATCATATTCAACCATATATTGATATGATACATCAACCAACTATCGTACAAACTAGTCTAGCAATCACAATAATCATAATTATAATTGGTTTGATTAATGGTATTGCATCTCTAATAACTTTTAAAAATAAAGAAACACAAAAATTAGGCTGTGGCTTCTATCTATACGGATCATCAATAGCGACTTTATTTATTGTAATTATTTTTACATTGAAGTTTTCGATACTTCTTATTGCACAAATAACATACATTGAAAATCGATTATTTTTACGTTTTCAATGTGTTTCAATTGATTTTTTGTTACGAATTGGTCTTAATATGGATCGATGGTTGAATGCATGTGTAGCGTTGGAAAGAGCTATTGCTACAATAAAAGGTATCGCCTTTAACAAAACAAAAAGTAAAAAAATTGCTGGATATATTATTCTTCTTCTTTCAATTGTGATCATTAGTACAGATGTTCATGATCCTATTTATCGACAATTGATTGACGAGAATAATAATGATGAGTATGATAGTGATGATAATGAGAAAAGAATATGGTGTATTGTCACGTATCCACCTGCCATTCAGAAATTCAATACAGCTATGAATATATTACATTTTTTTATTCCGTTTACTATTAATTTAATTTCAGCATTGATAATTATTGTCCTAACCACTCGTCAACGAGCTAAAACTAAAGGTCATCAAAACTATCGAAAACTCTTACGAGAGCAATTTAATCAACATAAACATATTCTTATTGGTCCAGTTACTTTGGTTATTCTTGGTGTACCACGTTTGATCATTTCACTTACTTCAGGTTGTATGCAATCATTAAGTCAATCATGGCTATTTTTAATTGGTTATTTCATTTCATTTATTCCACCTATGGTTACTTTTGTGGTATTTGTTCTCCCATCGAAACTATACAAAAAAGAGTTCAACAACTCTGTCAAACGATTACGACGTACTGTTAGATCAGGACTGCGCTTTACTCGATCGAATTGAGTTCGAAAAAGTTGTCCTCTACCAAATATAAAACTCAGAAATTATCTATATACAATGATCGCATTAAATAAATAATCAAGCAGATTTATCTTTATCTTTGCTTTATGTCATTTTAATTTGTTTGCTTTTTCATTTCGAAATATAACCTTATTTTCAATGATTAATGTGATGTTTCCGATTATTCTGAAGTATGTATGCGAGGGCAAAACAAGAAATTTCAGTCATGTTGAGGGTGTGGGTGTAAATTTTCTTTATTCTCCACACCAACATTCACGTTGTGTTGAAATAATTGTACTGGTATACAAAAGAATAAACAGCAGATGATTTGATAAAGAATTCATTTTGAGGGTATGGATACTGTATTCACCTAGCGCTCACAGTCACACCCACTCATCAGAAAAAGACTGCCTGCATCAATCAACAATTCATTTAAAACATAACTAAATCAAACTCTCGACATATCTTCGAAATTTATCAACGACTGAAAAAGCTTGTATTTGAATTGAGTGGCTACTTGAATCGGCAAGATTCTTGAATATTTCGAAAATTTCAATCTCAACTTTTCACATGTTCTTTTCACGATTTCCAATGAGAAAATTTCTGTTATAGTTTGACAATCTATTTCTATGAAATCTTTGACATCGATGTGGATATATTGTCATAAATGTTTCAACAGAGACAGTTTTTGGTATAATTTAATTAATATCTTATTATATGGTCTTTGATATAGATGCACATAAATTGTTTTTACTATTTCAACAGATATAGTTTCTGATGTAGTTTTATTAAAATCTTGTTCTATATGATATTTCATATAGTTATGGATATATAGTTTTAACTATCTCAACTCTTATAGTATCATTTATACATCTTTTTTTTCTCCTCTCTCTGTTATCATACGGATGTCATACGTATATATGGGAGTTTTCCTTTCTTTTTTTTTCATCTTCTTGTATTTTCCCGTATCAGCGCGAAGGGTTTATACGAATGTCAAGGTGGTAAATTTCAATGATCGAATGAAAACTAATATGAGAGGAGGAGACATATATTTTATTGCGAAATCTATGCTATAAATAGTTCACAATAAGATGATGAAAGAATCCAGGATATATGGATAATAAGACGATGAAAGAATCCAGGATCAGTGGCGGTGGAGCATGGAGGCTAAAGCCTCACTTAGTTTCGGATTGAATATTATATTTTATTATTAGAATTTGTTATGTGCGGCATCTAACACGATTAGATATATGTCCTGACATATTTATCTTTTGATGCAGTTCACCTATTTTTTATTTGCTTTTCTTTTCTCTATTCTTTTATCGCATAGATATCATATATAGCTTATATATATATCATGTATATTTTTCTTTTCGTTTACTTGGATATTTACCTTGTCTATATGGTACTCAAGTATTTTCCTTCTTTCCTTACATGTTTTCTTGTCCGTATGTTTAGTTTTTCCTCATTTCGTCTATATATGTTTTATTCCCACAACGTTTGTTTTTTTCCAAGTGCATATACACATACACGCATATATATATATTATTACGGCAATAGAGAAGTAGCTCAGTAGTGATCGGACTGATTTATATCCTCTTCACAGTGTATTTAATTGCTGAAAAACGTCCAAACATTCACCCACTTTTCTTTTTGACACATATACAAAGAAAAGTCACTGTTCAACTTTCGCATCGAAGAACGAATAGAGAAAATTATTTTTTGGTACGTTCTGATTTGTTTTATTTTCACGATGACTGTTGTAGTTTTTATTGAGGTTTAATAAAAAAAATAGTTATATTTGGTTCATGTTTTAATAAAAGTTCAAAGTAGAAAAAAATATTGTGAACCTCACTTAGGTTAATGACGCTCCGCCGCCCCTGCACACGGTCGAGATTTTTGGAGCGTTTAAACGCTTTTTTCTATTTTTTTGTCTGCCTGAGAATTACATTTATTGTAGATAAATAATAAGAAAGGCAATGACTGAAATATGGTTACCACTCATGATTGTTTTTGGCTTACTTTCACCAACCATACAATTATTTTGTTCAACAAATTGTACAACTATTCAAGTTAATTATTCTAATCCTTTTATTGAACCATTTCATCATAATTCATGTTTAAATAATACATCAACAAATATATGTAAAGGACGAATAACTGCGTATTATATTGGAAAAAGTAATTATCCAAAATATATTAATTATACATTTGGAAAAATTGATGATGTACTCGAAAGACAAAATGAAAATGATATAAATAAATATGCATTAAAAAATTTAACAAGATATCAAGTTATTATTAATCCAAAAATTGAAGAAACACAAATTATATCGGATATTTATTGTACAACTGATGATGAATGTGCATTGGATGAAATAAAAAAATTATTCGTGAAATATAATAATCAAATGAATCCATTTTATGAATTAAAACCATTATTTTATTCTAATCTATCACCAGATAAACTTTATTGTTATGATATATCAAATGATACAAGTAAATTATGTACAAAAACAAATGATAATAATTATCCAGTTTGTCTATCACATTTTAAAGAATTGAAACATGAATGTTCATCAGGAATAGATTTAGGATTACATGAAGAATTTGTACTTACATCACCAGATACAATGGAATTGAATTTAAAAGATGAATTAATTAAATGTAATCAAAATAATTGTAATAGTTTTGCTGAATTAGCACAAATTCAAAATATTGCAAGAAATTATGCCTATGGAACGGTTATTATGAAGAATAATGCTCATAAACAACGAAATGAAATTAATCCGATATTTTTTATACTTATTTTAATAGTTTTTTTCTTTTGAATTATATAATAATTTACAATCTGCTATTAGAGCAATATATATGGTATTATAGTTTTAATTGTATTTAGAAAACTAACAGTGTTATTAGAAGTAGTTTTGAAATTAAAACAAAATTATTTTCAATTTTTATAGTTTTTGTACTCTTTTTTTAAAGTGCCAGACATATTCCGATAGCATTAATACATTTACAATATAAAATATGGGTGTGGGTTCGAAAGCGGGTGTAGATGTGGGTGTGGGTGTTATATTCATGTCATACTCACACTCGCAAAAAGTTCGAAGATTTATTTCTCGGTTGTTTTTAATAGTTTTCTATATTTATGACCAGATGTGATCACTTCTTCAGATATAGGTTTTATTGAGAGTTTGAATTGAAGAAATACAAAAGAAGTCCTCTTCTCAACATAGGCTACATTGAATAAATCGAAAGAAATAATTCTACGGAGTATACATTTTTAGATTTCGGACAACTTTACCATCCACACTCTGTCATATTTACACTGAAGCTATGCAAACTGACAATAGTCATTTTATTGCTAAAGCTGCAAAACGTGCCTTAACATATATCATGAACGAGAAAAAGTACATTCATTTGATTGTTTCCGCTAGTCTATTCTACGAGCGTGCTTTAAAGAATAGTATCACGCTTTCAGTTGATTCATAAAAAAGTATCGCATTAAAAAAACAGTCTTCATTGACAGCACAATATTAGTATTTGACTCGTCTGAAAAATGTTGAATATTGTCCTTGTGCAGAGTGCAAGTCATTATTCTGTTCTCATCGTCGGATTTCCTATCCTGGTTCTTGGTTTCGTTGGCAATATACTAGTCATCTGGACTTTTGTACATCGAGTTGGGAAATTTCGAAAAAGTCCTTGTAGTCTTTACTTTGCTTCGATGGGTATCATTAAAACAATTAATCTTGTTCATGCTCTAGTTAATCTTATTATGTCTGTTGGCTTTGATTTTGACCCAACGTTAACCTCACTTGTTTACTGCAAGTTAAGATATTACTTAGGTCATGCAACATTACCACAAATATCCATTACACTCGAGTGTATTGCTACGATTAGTCAATTTCTTGCTACTTCACGCCAAGTCTCCTATCGAAAGAAAAATACTCATAAAAGGGCATGCATATGTATTATCCTTACTATCCTTTTCTGGTGTACACAGGCCATACCTTATCTTGTTCTCTACAAAATTCAAATTTCACCAGAAACAAACAAACCTGTCTGTAGTTCATTTAATATGGCTTTGAATCACTATAATACTTGGATCTTACGTATTGTGAGTTTTTTCATCTTACCTTGTACCATTTTGCCTTTATTCGGCTATTTAACCCTAAGAAATATTCGGCAACTGGCAAATTCTTCAAGTCGACAGCAAAAAATTGAGCGACAAATGTCGTTGGTAAGTGATTTTTTCTGATCAATCTAACATGTCGTACTTGTTTCTTTGAAGATGTTACTTGTTCAAATAACCTATTATGTGATCAGCTATATTCCACTTGCAATTTGGAGTGTCTACGCGCTAATTACAGCGACAGTTCCAAAGAACTCAGAAAGAGAGGCAATCGAGAGTCTTGTTTATACTCTAATATTCCTTCTTACCATCTCGACTTTTGGTAACAGGTACGGAAAGGATAGAAAAAGATTTACATTTCAGCGTTTCCTTTTAGTTTTTATCTTTTCTACGTAACATCTAAATTATTCCGCGAACAATTCAATGCGGCATTATACGCTGTATTTGGCTGTCCACGAGGATATGGTCATACTGAGGTCCAGGTCACATCCGCTAACGAGATGCAAACAAGGGATTGATGGAAACTGTACAAACAAATAAATATAAACCTATTTCCTTTTCCACTTTGATGAAATATCTATACTATCAGAAATAAAGAAGAGTAAAAAAGCGAAATCATTTGTCATTCTTATTAATTGCTTCGATGATAATAAAATAATATCTTGAGAGTGGGTGTGAGACGTGAATAGAAAGAGCAGTCACTCATAATCACACCCATCCTCAAGATGTTAGATTCTGCATCTCTATGTCAATAATTAGTGTAAGTATTATAAGTATCGTTCAATCACCGCACATTTATACCCAACTACTTTCAACTATTGAATTATAAATTCAAACGTGAGAAAAGAAAAATACGAAATAATATTTGTACAATGTCATTTACTCTATTACTTGTATTCTTAGTCATCAACTGGGCAAGATTATGATATTCAAGTGGATAGTGACTAAAATAATGAATAACTCGTCTTGTACTGCTCGATAGAGCACAGAGTTTTAATATAAATAATAAAAGTTATCGTTTTTGATTCTATTATGTATTTTATAAGATTATTAATAAAACTATAAATATGCTCAATATTTAACCATTGTTCTTTTTTTCATACTCGTTGCCCTTGTTAATGATATCATCCGCAATTACAAAAACTGAAAACTATTCTTTGAATTTTCTTTTACCGTGAGCCGTCTAAATGTCCTCGAAACTTAATATACTTGCTAAATCAAGAGCAGCAACGACATCATATCCCTTTAGCTTGCTTCTGGTATTAAAATGAACTTCTTGGCCTTACGACAGTTGAGCTTCCTTCTATTTATTAACGTCTGAATCTTTATATGTATGCTGATGAAGCGGTAGAATCTGGTAACTCACTACTAATGCATATAAAGTTTAGTGAGCAAATGGTTGTTATCATCCAGAAGTGCTTTTTGGCTATTCAATCGGGCTATTAACAGCATTAATATTGCACAGATTTATCTCGCCGTCGCAATATCTGTTAAATGATATTTATATATTTGTCTTTCACAAAGAGTGAGTTGTTAACATGCACACAAGTAAATAGAAAGATTGAGTTTTACGACACTTTTATATATGAAGTGAAAATTTTTCCATGATATTACTTCTTCTTCTCTAAAGAATGAACTTCATTTGCACACATTATCTTATGTTTCTAAGCCTGAAGGCTTATGCAAGAATTTTATTTGAATTTCTTCTCTCTCTCTCCCTCATTCATAAACTTAATTAAATATGAGCATTTAGATCCTTCTTTTCTTTTATGCGTGTGTACGTTTGACAGGAAGAAGAGATCTAATCTAACATCAATTTTTAAATATGTCTTTGAATGCGGTCCTAGCATCAGATATCGCTCAACTTCAGCGTATCTCGCAATATTTTAATACAACATTTGGTTTTCTCATACTCTCCTGTGGATTTGTAGGAAATCTTCTCAATATTCTTACACTCATTACATTGGGAAACTACAAACACAATGCAAGTTCACTTTACATTCTCGCCAAATCTTTTTTCGATTTAGCTGCTCTCTTCATGAGTCTTTTCACGTTGATTCTTACTCGTGGACTTAGCATTGACTCTATATCGACAAATTTTGTATGGTGCAAAGCTCGAATTCCTCTCATCTATATCAATGCATTTGGTTCTTACACATGTCTCTGTCTTCACTCAATTGATACATTCTTGGCCACATCGAACTCTGTCTATTGGCGACAGAAGAGCAATGTACGAACAGCTCGCATCTTAATTGTCGGATTTCTTTTCCTTTGGATAGGACATGAGTTGCCTTATTTCTTTCTTCAAGACCTAATCAACTTAAAATGTGTCGCGACAAATGTTGCATATACTCAATATCGTACCTACTTCATAACTTTTGGATTCTTCACAGTCATTCCTGTTAGCATAGTTTCCATATTTGGCTATTTCTCTTATCGCCATTTGCACGGACAACACTGGCAAAATAGAAAACGTTCTGTGTTGAGATTAACAAGACAAATGACACTCATGGCTCTATTACAAATAATTAATGTCCTAGTCTTTACAACTCCCTTTAGCATAACAAATGCTTATTTTCTTGCTAGAGCTAATTTTTACAAGGACGCTTATTATCAAGCACAAGAACAATTTGCTCAACTTTTCTTTAATGTTTTTCTAGCTGGCCTTTATGTGGTAAGATTTGCTTATCTTATGCCATACAACAGAGTATAAGATTTGTTCTTTAGGGCTCCTTTTATTGCTATTATATCGGTTCGAAACAATACAGACAACAAGTTTCGTATGCCTTAAAGAAGGTGTTGAAATGTGGAAATCCAGAAAGAAATCGTGTCATGCCACTTGGAGAAAATTTCTGCTTGGCAACAACACGCCAACTCCAAGCAGTATCTCTCCATTAACTGACTTTTGTTTAGAATAAAACATACTCTAGTAGATCGAAATTCAGTCATGCAAATTATTTTATATGAGAAATACAACTGTATGAATAAAATTTCTAGGCTTCGTGTCTTGATGGTGTGGGATGTGAGTTGCTAAATAAAACTACAAGAGTTTATAGTCATATAAGTACTTTTAAGATGATATAAAGTCCTATTGTAACGTGAGATCATTTGTTAAGCAACCCCGTCTACTTTTTATAAACATACTTTTTCTAAAACATACACCCATACCCATCCACTCTATTTAATATATATCTATTCTGGTGTATGTTATATCTCATTATTAACCTATTTTCTTTTGTATTTACCTTTGTCTAATTTGTTTTCAAATAAAAAATGAATCATTTATTCCGGCATTATTTCAAAGTTGAACAAAAATTATTTTATTATTTCTTAGTTAAACAAAAGCAACGAGCATATGTTCAAGATATAAACTATCGGTTAATTATTTTTATTTTGCTTCATTTCTTTGATCATTTTGAGGGCGTGGCAAATCTCAAAATGAAACCGATTTTGAATAAACTTCTACTTCTGATTTCTGA